CCAAAGAACAGGGATTTTTCTCTAAAAGCAGAAAGCCCTGAGGCATGAAGTGGATAATTTTTAGATTAGGGATGATAATGGAGCGGCTCTTTAAATATTTTCCTGCGGTAATTACTGGTTATCAGCCCTAATCGCTGCTGTTTGCAGCAGCCGCGTGATGGGAACGCTCAGGAGCTGCTCAGCCTTTCCCGGCTGCCTTTTGTTTCATTTCTTGGGGTGTTTTTTGTTTTTTTTTTTCCTCTCCTTTCTCTCTTCCCCACCCCCGGCCGTTTTAGAAGGGGGTTTCGGGCAGCACCAGCCACCCTCACCTCCCTCCTGCCCAGGCTCTGATGGATTGTGTATTTCTGCCCCAGGAGAAGCGCCCGCGAGATCCGGTGCAGGACCCCCCCCGGGCACACCCCCGGCGGCTCCCCCATCCTCATCAACATCAACCGAGCAGAACTGAGCAACCCAGAGGTGAAGTACAACTACACAGAGGACCCCACCATCCAGAAGATCGATCCAGAGTGGAGCATCAACAGGTGAATTGTGGGGTGCCCGCAGGGAGCTTGAAGGACACGTGGGGGGCTGTTTTCCACATGGATCCCCTCCTCCTGGTGGGTACATCTCGGTGCTGCTGCGATAGCTGCCGGGCTGTGCTCCAGAGACGTGGCGAGAGGAGCGTGAGCAATGGCTTGGCACCGGGGCCCTACCAACTCCTGGCCTGCAGTGCTCAGCCTGGCAGGGGGCAAGAGCAGAGAGCGCTTTGGATCTGCTTAATTTCAGCTTGACATTTGGCGGTGGTGAATAAAATTAAAATATTTCCCATTGGGGGTTTTTTTAAAATGTTTACATATTTTTCTAAAAGGTTTGAATTGGCTGGAGAGGAGGCAAAGGAATCCATTAAGCGCTAGCGCCAAGGGAAACCTTCCCCAGGGTGTTGATGAGGAGCGAGCTCCCCAGGGGCATGGTCCAGCTCTCCAGGACCACGAGGCTTTTAACACCAAGACATAGAGAAAACCCAGCAGGGCTCAGCACACCCTGCCACCCGCTGCCTTGTGTGGTAGAGAAGGTGGTGGCAGAGAGGACCTCCTCCTCCTCAGGATGCTTTCCCATTGTGGACACCTGGTCTCCTTTAGCTTGGGAGCTGCCTTCAGACCCCAAACCCAGACACAGGGTGGGATGTTAGTGTTAATTAGGCAGGTTTTATATCTCTAGTTGGCCCTTGGGTCAGCTGAGATGATTTGGTGGTGGTGAATGCCAGATCCTGCTGGCCATGGTGACACCTGGGCGGGATAAGAGGTCCCTGAGGCATTGTGGTGCACCCAGGCTGGGGCAGATGGGCGTCTGGCTGGTGAGGATGGGTGCTTCCCTCCCAGAAGTGGGGACCCAGTGCCAAGCTGCCTCTTCTAACCCATTGACTCCATGTCTCTAGTGGTGGGACGCTGCTGACTGTGACTGGCACCAACCTGGCCACCATCAAAGAGCCCAGGATCCGGGCCAAGTACTGCAGCTCTGAAAGGGAGAACGTAAGTGGTGCTGGCTGGGGCTGGGGGCAGAGCACAAGGAGGAGGGATGCTGTCCCTCTGCAACACAGGGCGGAAAGGGCATCCCTTACCCATCAAGTATGATGGCCTGGAGGGTCTGCGGTCCAGGGGCTGCCACCCAAAGAGAGGCACTGATCTCCCTGCAGGGCCTCCAGCCAGGTGCTTCCAGAAGAGGGTTGAGATCTGAGTGTGCACAACTATGGGAGGTTTGTGGGGTGTCTGCGGGATAGTGACACAAAGAGTCAGTCCCCAGCGAGCTCCCACCTGCCACCCCTTGCACATCCATTGCAGACAGGAATCTCTCTCTGCCCCGGGGTGGAATGTGACTCCGGTTGATATAATGGCACAGGACAGGAGATCCTAAGTCTAAACACCGTGTCCAGAGCCGTTGCTTGCAGGAGATCCTTGTGACATCAGATCCTGACCTCCCTCTCAGGAGCTGGGTCTGACCTCAGTCCATGCCTCCTGCAGAACTGCACCGTCTACAATGACACCACCATGGTGTGCTACGCGCCCTCCATCGACAACCCCGTGCGGAGCCCTCCAGAGGTTGGCGACCGCCCAGATGAGATCGGCTTCATCATGGATAACGTCCAGGCCCTGCTCATTGTCAACACCACC